TTTCCTGACAATTAGAGAAACATAGAATAAGGTACAAGCATGTGAGGTAATGCGGTATGTGGTAACGATCATTAGTTCACCCATGAAATTCTGCCAAGTTAGAGTTTGTCATTTTCTGAGAGTGATCCAACGCTGAGAAGCTGAGACCTGCCGATAATTTAAGAAGGGAGACTGAGTTCTTGATGGTGTTGTTGAGACCTGTGGAGCGTATTGACGTATTTAGGGTTATGAAAGACTCATCGGCAAAGTATTCAGGTAATAAACGCAAGCAAAAGTTTAAATTCAGCAATGCAAAAAATAATAATGCACAAGTAAAGGTCCTGCAGGAAAGAAAGGTACTAATTAAATATGTCATTATATGATACATAATACTGATGCATCCCTGTGTGATCTCAGGTGGGTTTTTTGGGGCATAAAATGGACATTTAAATGAATGATGTGAGAAGTTTAAAAGGCAAAGTTCTCATTAGTGGAACTCAGACATCTGAATTATGACAAGAAGCCTTAACTATATAATCATTTATAAGGCTATGATATCATCTCATTTTAGGAAATTAGTTGGAATTATTAAGAAGATATGTCCGATAAATACAGTGGAGTAAGAATAACAACATTTTCTCTGAGCTGAGATAGAAACATCAAGATACTTATTCCTCCTTGTCTCATCCTTACACATTAAATGATCAATGCAGGTCTGTATTACATCTCAGTTTATATTAGCTGCAAAAGAAAAGCACTGCAAGTCTTGTATCAGCGGGTGTCGGCTGCCTGATCTCCCACACAGTTCATATTCACTCAAATTACAGTGAAGACATGGCGCTTTAATGTAGTATCAGCTTTTTTTTTATATTAAGCTGAATGTACGGATGCATAGAGCAAGAACACATTGAAATATATAGGTTCTTAATTTATTTTCTATAGTAGTCAAACCGTAACAAATACTATTTTATGTTTTACTTTATGGGAACACAGTGTGTGAACACATTTATGTCCCCACAACATGGGTAATACACACCAGAGGTCACGGTGGAACACAGCAGCTTCAGAACTCTTACAATCGAGCATGAATGAGCGAGTCCTTGAGTATCAGACATCTCCCACAGCTTCCTTGTCGTACTACTGCTGGGAGTCACACCACCGACAGCTGCTGCTGCTGGGCTTAAACAAGGAGCCTTTATACACAGATGAATGAAATGCATGATAAACATGGGTGCAGATATCACAAGGGACGTTTTGTAATGCAACTTGAACACATACTATATGAGGGGAGTTTTACACGCTGCCTTTGAGAAATGGTAACTTTTCACCTTTGGCCAACGAGTCCTGGAGAAATGTAGCAGTATTTCATCCGCAAAGCTGCACTATCAGATGTTCAACCGTGGGAAATAATAATTGAGCAATAAATCAAAGATGTAAATATCAGTGCAGATAGCAGATATATTAGACAAGATGACAGATGGACGGTTGGCTGCAACAATGTAATGAAGTCTAGTAGCCGTATGATAAATACGACCTTCATGAAGCTCTCAATGTGCAGTTTTTTTTATCATGTCTTCCTTTCTGGCATTCTCTTGTCTATGTAACCATATTTACAAGCAACCATATGGGAAGAGAAGTTTATCTCAGTCTCCAGTGTACAGTTCCAGATCTATAGTTCTGATACCAACAATATCTCACACTTGATGAAAATCTTTTGACAAATACATCAGAATAAAGTCCATTATTAACCCTTACAAAACCCATTCAGTCTATCTAAAATATCACCCTCCCTTGGAATTTCTTTTTAAAAAAAAAAAAGTATTTAATTACCTGATATTATTACCCAGAAATCAGATTTCTGTGGCATGAAAGAGTCTATTTTTTAATTATTATTATTTTTATTTATTTATTTTTTTGTAAACTCTGGTCAGAAATTCAAATGAAATTCACTATGATTGAAAAGCAAGAAAAGAGGAAAACTTCCAAAGAGGTTAAATACTTTTTACAGGCACTGTATACACCGTATGTATCTGATATCACTTCATAACAAACTTCTATAGATATGAAGAAATAAACCTTTAATCTGTTTAACTGTGTTAACATCAGGATTAACACAAGGACAAACAATCGTGGAATACTGAACCTTTTTAAGTCAGAATAAACGGTGGTTTATTGTTCTTCTGGAGTGACATAAATAAAGAAACAATACTGTAATTGAACAGAATGACAAAGTTATAGGAAGTTTCTACCTGACTACACACCCTACAATACTAGTAGTTACACAAATTTACCTGACCAACCTAAATGTTACAGTTAAGAATCTAAAATTTACTCCAAAAAATTACCTGATTAATTAACAAATTTAGATTTGTGTCTAAAAAGAATTCTAAAAAAGGGTCCAAACAAGACAGTGTTTACATGTTACTGGAGACAGAGAGACAACAGTGATGCTAATATTCATCGTATGAGTCACAGTGATGACACACTGAGCTGAGACCAACACAACCGCCTCTCAAAACACTTGCTGCCCTTTATCAGAGCCGTCATGTGTTTATTCAGCGTAGATGCCAGCAGTAGTAAGGTCTAATCCTAATCCACTCGCATCTTGTTTTGATTAGGTGATCACAGGAGCCTCGGCTCTGATATTCTCAGCCTTTAGCCAGTGTGTCCTGGTGATGGCCGAGAGTGTGTAGCTGCGGAGAGGAGACAGAACACTACAGACACCGTCCTGTTTGGCAATGGAAAAGTCTGAGAGATAATGCATGCTTCATTTTTGCTTGTGCGTTTATAATGAAAAGGTTTCTTTAAAAGTGCTGAAGAAGTGAGGGGAAGTAATGACAGTGAGGTGACGTGGCAGGTAAGTGTCCTTTAGGAGAGTCTGGTGCTTTAGTTGCAGTTTAGTTGTTTAGCTGTACTGTTTTAGACTTTAAATGAAACACCAAAGTGCTTATTCTATTGATAGTTTCACAATTATGCTTTAAAATGTCCAGTAATTATAAGGAATAAGATTTATTTCTCCAAATTCTTTGTTTAAGTTGCTGTTGGTCCTGTTTGTGATCTATTATAAACATTTCATATCTCAATTGTTAGTGAAATAGTCGTAAAAATAGTATGTAAGAATAGAACATCTTGTTATTTTGTGCATAGAGATCTATTATAACATTATTCCCAGGTTGCAAAACACAAGGTCAGATATCTCCTGCATGAAAGTATCTTTGTCTCTGACAGTGAGAACAGCAAAGGGTCATGGGATGTGGCATGGGAAAATCAGAACTACAGCTGAAGAAATGTGACAGAGGTGCAGTGTTTATAAAAATTATTCTAGTAAATATGTTGTTTAGGATTTTTTTCAAATGCAATCCACCAACATCAGTGTCTTTTCTGTCATTTTCAGTGAGCATCTCAGTCCCAGGTAATTTCCTTTTTTTCCACCACATGTTTCACATTTTAACGCTTGTGCTTCAATCAGTATGTGAAATATTCTTAATAGCTGTTTGTTCACGTTTGCAATCCGATTTTCATGCACGCTGTGAAGCTGCCACAGGTTCGTCTTTCAGCATACCTATGGCTCAGTGAATGAAGGTGTTGGTCATTGAAAATCAACTCAGCTCAGTGACTTCCTCCTCCTCCTGCAGCAATCAGAGCAGCTCTGCTGATCCAGCGCTGGTACCGGCAGTATGTGGCTCGGCTGGAGATGAGACGCAGGTGCACGTGGAACATCTTCCAGTCTATCGAGTACGCAGGAGAGCAAGATCAGATCAAGGTGAGGTCATGCAGGTTTAAACACTTTCTAGCACTTTGGTTCACACTGAAATACCTCAACTAGTCCATAAATGCCGGGAATACTTGGGCAATAACATTTAAGATTCCTCAAGGGGTAAATCCTGAGGTGATCCTATGACTTTTCCTCCTCCTGTCACATTTGTTGTTGTTCAAAGCAAAACTATTTGGCTACTATGAGGTGGATCATCACAACATTTTTTTAGACATTCATGGTTTCCAAAGGATGAATTCTTCTGACACTGGAGATATTCTTAGTTTTGGATTTACTATGACAGGGATAGCAATAACGTCTTATTCAGACATTAACAATCCCCATTATGAGCCCTTAGCTTTTCTTTTAGCGTCATCATTGAGTCAAAACTTGAACATGTTCAGTTTATGATTGAACACCTAAAAAATAGCGGCAGCCCTCTCAGCACCAGCTGTACTTTGTGTTTGGTGCTAAATATCAAATCCTGAGTGCTTCAATAGAGGGCAACTGGACTTACTTTTAGTTCTTGAAGATGTTTTACCCCCTTTATTCTCATCCCCCCAAATCCCATTAGTCATGGTTCGTTAAAGGCCCAAGGTGCCTTGAGATGTAGTAGGTTGTTTAACTACCTAAAGAGAGACCTCAGGACTGCATTATAAGCACCTGATGAGTGGTGGTGTGGACCCCATCCTCTGTTTAGACAGTGTTGTTTTAGGTTGGCATAGATGGCTTCCTTTACTCCTCTCACATAATTTATAGTTAAGTATTTAATCATCACATTAAAGCCGTAGTTGGCAGGAATCTGTAAAAGACACTAAAAGAATGAAAAATCTTCCCACTCCTACGTCAAATGTGCAACTATAGTTGAGCTAAAACATTCATTTGTGGCTTCACCTGGGATTCAAACTCTTTAAAGTCTAATTCATCTAACTCATTGCATCGCCACATCCTGCTCTCATTGTCTCAGACCACTTGAGTGACAATATGCTGATAGGTTACACAGGATTTTTGCTCAATTAAGCCAAAACAAATTCTGCCTTCATCAGCTTTAAAATAAAACAGTAAACATCATATGCTATTTGTCATGGTCTGTTGAGATTAGAGTCTTGTTTATGAATCTTCTCTATGACATGGCCAATGATCTACATTTTAACAGATTTTTTTCCCCCTTTTGTGCAGCTGTACAATTTTTTTGGCTTCTTGATGGACCACTTCACCCCAGCCAGCAGTGAAAGTAAGACACTGACTCAACACATACCGTTTCATCCACCGACTTGTAGGTTTCATTAGATTACTGACAGTGAGCTAATCTGAGCTCGCTTTATCTGCTCACTGTTGAGAAACAGAAAGTGGCTTCTTCCCTTCCTGCACTGATCCAACTCCCTTTTGTTTCTTTCCTCTGTCTTTAATAAAGGAAACCTAATATCTCACATCTTTCGTGAGAATGAAATCTGCCGCGACACTGATTGGGAAAGATATTTCTGCTACAAGAGCATCGAGGTACCTGAAAGCTACACCGGCCCCCATCTGACCTTCCCCATGACCTTCTGCGGGGTGTCAAAGCTCGTGGAGGCTTTCAAACACAAACAAGTAAGTACACGCTAATGAAGTACACTAATGACAGGTTTTTAAAAATTAGAAAAACAAAACATTTGTAGCCTTTTTCTTCAGCACTCAGTTCATTCATGCATGCTTTTTTCCCAGTAGCAGCTCCACGCTCGATACGTTCTGCAGATTCTTGGAGAGACTTGGAGACTTCTAAGGATTCTTCCAAACATCAACTATGTCTCCATTTGCCATAACCAGGAAATCACAATATGTGGTACAAAATAGCTTTTACTCTCATGTTCTTCTGTAATTGCTCTTGAAACTTTCATTGTGCCCTCACAATAATCACAATAATATCTTTCCCAGGAGACCTGCACGGGCAATTTGAGGATCTGCTGCTGATATTCTATAAGGTATTCACATCATGTGATGGATCACACTGTCAGTCAAGGAGGTTCATTTTACCTGACGTGTTAAACTTAACCTGTCTAGAATGGTTTGCCATCGTCTGAGAAACCGTACGTCTTCAATGGAGACTTTGTGGATCGCGGCAAAAACTCATTGGAGATTCTGCTCATCCTGTTTGGGTTCCTGCTGGTCTACCCCAACGATGTTCACCTGAACAGAGGGAACCACGAGGACCACATCGTTAACCTGAGGTGAGCTAGTCTTTAGTAGCTTATTCGGCCTGTTCAGCCGCTTTATATTTAGCTTTAAGAAAACAGTGCTCTGTATTCAAGGTACAGCTAATGTGTACACTAACATGGTTTTATTCATTATGTGTTTTCTCCAGATATGGTTTCACTAAAGAAATTTTGGGAAAATACAGGGTAAGTCTCCAAAAATACTCTATTACAGGTAAAATCTATGTCTTTAAATTCCTTTAAAACTTGCAAAATGTACTTAAACCATCAAAAAACCCAACTTGATGCGAAAGTAAAATGCTCCTGTAAGTGTTATATTGTTATATAACTACTGGTGCATTAATGCCTAAAGTGAATTTTATTTCTGTAATTGTTTAATGTGCACAGTCCAAAAACATGTTGAGGTTAATTGGTGATTGTAAATTGTCCTTAGTGTGAACGTGAGTGTGCTTGGTTGTCTGTCTCTAAGTGTAGCCCTGTGATAGACTTCGCCAGAAGTCAGCTGGGATAGGCTCCAGCCCCCTGTGACCCTAGTGAGGATTAAGCGGTGTATAGATGATGGATGGATAATAATGGATATATATTTCATGAGGTCAGCAATGCTATGTGTCTGTCTCTGTGAGACTTTGCTTTGAGCTCTTAGCTAATGTGCTAACACGCTGATGCCAGAGGTAATAACGTTCACCATCTGTAGACTGCGATCAAGCTATAGATGCTAATTACCACTAAACACAGCATATCTAAGGAGACGACCATTAGTTTTGCAGGATTTGGTAATAAAGAAAGTAGTACAGGGACACATTACATATAAAACTACACTTTACAACATTAAGGTGGAACCAGAGGATAAATCATTTTTGTTTACAAGTAAATAATAGTTCCTATTGTTCATTTGTTACTAAACTTGACTTGGTCTGCAGGTGCATGGCAAGAAGATATTAAAACTACTTCAGAAGATCTTCAGCTGGCTGCCTCTGGCCACAGTCATCGATAACAAGGTGCTGATTGTGCATGGAGGGATCTCTGACATGACGGACCTGAACGTGATAGCCAGAGTGGACAGACACAAAGTAAGAGAGGACTGCAGCTTCAATTAACTGACTGTATTTTGGCCACTTTGAAAGAAGGGACTCCAGTCCAAAGCACAGTATTTATAATCAGAGTGTTTTTGAATGTGTGCAGTACGTGTCGGCCCTCAGGCCCACGAAGATCAGCCATCAAGCCATCAACGGCAGCAAGACTCAGACGATGAACAGAAAGAACGGAGAGGCCGGTGGACCAGCGGAAGGCCGGCGTCGAGTGTACTCTCTGACTCACCACAGCCCGGTTCCAGCTCAGAGACACCACCCTCCACGCCGCTCACTCCACAACCTGCCCATCAGCAATCAGCTGAGCTGGTCATTGGAAGATGAGCTGAAGAGGAGACGCAGGCTGGCTGGGTTTGACCAATCCTACGGAGAAATGAACAAGTCAGACTCGGACTCAGACTCAGAACCTGAAGGAAAAGAGACAGATGAGCGAGAGTGGAAACAAGTAAGTGACGGTTTCAACATACAGTATTTCTCTCTAACGTATGTAGTTTAATATTTTGAGACTTATATGGTGGGTGAGTTAACAGTACAGATATATCCACACAGATAGTAGACCTGCTATGGAGCGATCCAATGCCCCAGAATGGATGCATCCCCAATGAGGTGCGAGGTGGAGGATGCTACTTCGGACCAGACGTCACTGAGGAGGTGCTGGAAAGACACAACCTCCAGCTGCTCATCCGATCCCATGAGTGCAAACAGGACGGCTATGAGTTCTGCCACAACCGCAAGGTGAGCACAAAGAGACACATAAGATACAAGTTATGGAGGGAAAGATGAGTTGAAGATGGGAGAGAAGTGTTACCGTACAGAAATTCTTTGCATTTAGGCTACAAATTCTGATTGTTTTGAACATTGATCATCGATTATTTTCTTGATTAAAAATGTAGATCATCCTTTCCTAAGGCCCAAGATGATGTCTTCAGATGTCCTGCTTTGTCCACAAACCCAAAGTATTCAGTTTACTATCAAAAAGGGGTGCAAAAAAATACTCAAACTGATTAATTTATTATAAGAATAGTAATTTATTTAACAGCTGACCACTAATTGATCATCATTGCAGCTTTAGTTTGCAAATTTACCAGCTTTCCTGTGTTGCATCCAGGTGCTGACTATATTTTCAGCATCTAACTACTATGAAGTGGGCAGCAACAGAGGAGCCTACATCAGAATGGGCTGTGATCTGGTCCCTCACTTCATCCAGTATCAGGCGAGCAGGACGTGCAGGGAGCTCACCCTGAGACAAAGGTATGCAGCAAAGACGTCTGATATTACATTTAAATGTACGTCCAGTCTGCATTTCAGCAGCAAAAGAGTTTTTCATGACCACCGTATACCAGTGTGTAGAAATGTGACAGTGTGATAATACAACTGCAGATGGGTTTAAACATTTACCTCTCAGCGATTCAAGGACTTACACAAAGATTACTGAGGCTTTTTTTTCTCTGTTCTTTGTCAGTATCGGGTGGACCGAGAGATCAGCTCTGCGAGCTCTGAGGGAAACACTATTTGTGCACAAGTCAGATCTCATCAGTGCCTTCAAGGAGTTTGATCCCAACAATACAGGTGATTACAGCTGCTTTATGCTGAACATCAGCGATGAAATTGATCGCTCTAACATTCAGTTTTACATCCCAAGTGCTTCAGCACAAGGACGCTGGACTTCCTTTTGGTCCTTAAAGACATTTCACCTCTTATCCAAGAGTCTTCTTCAGTTCCATTAATGACCAAAGACTCACAGGCCTCAAGTGTGAATGGAGAGGGCTGACTGAAGGTGTTAATGGTGGGGAAGCAGTCTAGGGAGGAACCTCAACACTGTGTTATAAGTATTTGATAAGTGGTGTCATGGCCTTTTTCTGTTTAGAGGTGGCCCTTCCAGTTTACCATACATTCTTCCTTTGTCTCTCAACAGTCTGTCTTCTTTGTCCACATGGTGCAGACTGCTGTCTTCAAAAGAGTGGCCGATGCCTTTTAGCTAAGATTGCTGAGTCTTTTGCTGAGGGGCTGGCTCTCTTGTGTTTGCCGTGTACTTGTGGAACAGTTCTTAAATCTCCCCTATATTATGAATAAATACCAAGGACTCTCCACCATTCAAGTTAACAGTGAGTAAGACTCTTGGATGAGAGGTGAAATGTCTTCAAGATCCAAGAAAGAAGTCCAGTTGCCTTCTGTTTAAACACTGAGGATTACCATGACCTGGATGACTAAGAATCACATTAAATTGTACTCAACAGAAGAATACTTATCCATCAGACACCCAGAGGCAGCATATTTTGAATTTAAATACTCGTGCATCTTCTGGTGTGTTTCTCAGGGATGATCTCTCTCCGGCACTGGGCCAGTGCCACAGAGAACATATTGAATCTGGGTCTGCCTTGGAGGGTGCTGCGTTCCCAGCTAGTCAACAGCACCAAATATGGCATGGTGGACTACCAGCAGTGGATACGGGAGCTCTCAATCACTGAGCCCAAACTAGAGGTGCTTTGTTCTCTCTATTCATGGTCCCCAGCTGCTCACAGAGTTGTAATATAATGAACATTTCTGGTTATTCAATATATCTGAAAATAGATAATGCGTTTCTCTTCTGACAGATCTCTGATGCCAGTATCCTGGACACGATGTATAAAAACCACTCCAACCTGGAAACCATCTTCCGAATCATAGACACAGATCACTCAGGTGAGTAAGAAGCCAAACTCTGTTTTGTTCCACCTTTAAGCAATACTTCATCCCCTACACTACCACTTGTTAATAGGATTTCACTACCCAGGGTTTCAGTACCTGATGTACTCTTCAGACACTGTGCATGTGTGCAGAACTTCCTTGGCCACACACTAAATAAGACCAGCTTAAAGTGAATCAGCATGTGCTTCTCAACACAACACAGATCTTCTATGTGACAAGTTTCACATTTAAAACGAGGGCTTCTTCCTCCAGGTTCCATCTCTTTCGAGGAGTTTCGTCAGACCTGGAAACTCCTGAGCTCTCACCTCAAGACAGAGATCAGCGACGAGGCCATCGCAGACCTGGCCCAGAGCATCGACTTCAACAAGGACGGCAGCATCGACATCAACGAGTTTATGGAAGCTTTCCGACTGGTGGACCTCTCAGCACATACCTGACAACCTGGACCAGGAGCTGTAGCTTCACCGTTTTAGATATTCCTGATGATCTGCAGCATATAAAACTCTGAGCACCGTCTTGGATAGACTCGTTCACCTGTAACAACATTTGTGGAAGTTTAAATGGTTAATAGCACAGTACGACATGGGTAGGTTAATGGAGTGTATTATTTATCCAGATGCACTATAGATCTTTTCTACCTCTTAGATTTTTGGCTCTTTTTTTTATCTTCTGTATTTTTTGTATAACCTGTTTAGTTGGTGAATAAAAACCTTTATGCTCAGTGTTCTGTTGACAATGTCTGGCTCAAAGAAGTTGGGAGTTAAAGGGGAGTGCTACTGATTTTTACATATCACAGGCTTAGGGGAGTACTGGAGCATGTGTGGAAAGAAAAAATGTCCAAAGCCTGCACGAGATCTAAAAAAAATGTCTCAAGTTTCATGTCACATCAGAGAAAGAAGTTAAAAATGAGAAACTGTTGCACTGAAATTGATGAGCACTAAGACAAACTGGTGCTGAAACAAACGACTAACTCATCAAGTCGACTGACTTAAACGAGTAATAATTTATAAGATGGAAATACTTGTACATTTTCAAACTTTAAAAGGCCCAAATTTTCCAAGTTCAGCCTCCCAACTGTCTTATTTTTTGTCTTGAAGACTTCCCCATATACTAAAGGCATTTCTACCTTCCCCCCCAAACTTTATAGACTAATTTATCTAGAAAATAACAGATTAACAAGTGATATATATTAGTTGTAGGCCTGTACATCAATATTTCAAAGTAGTAGCAAAAGGGAGAGCTACTACTTCTGGAGAATGCACATTTGATAAGAACCAATTTGGTATTAGTCATTGATCTACGACTAATAATTTTTCGTCTGAGTTGTTTAAGTAACCAAAACTAACACGAGTTCATCTGCCAACATTATGCATATAAAACACAACATCCTGTTCTGCAAAACTAGTCTCTACAGCCACCAGTCACTTCTTCTATGCAGATACCTGTGCTCCACATACCATTGTGTAACGCAGACCCTTGGCATATGGGTGACTCTGCTGCACGAGGGGACGTAATCTGTTCGAAAGCTGCCTAATCAGTTCAACTGCCAATCAGTCTTTCATCCCTGTAGGGCTGTGAATCCAGGACATAAATCCTATCAACTCAAGCCCTGCTTTGATGAGATGTTGGAAAGATCTAGTCTGAAGAAGTAAACAGAGAATGTCAGGTGTCCCATATTAGTGCAAATGCAAACAATGCAAATGTATGTAACCTCTTCAGATTAAAAACACACAAATAAACATGCACGTAAATGGCAGAAAAACAGACACAAAATCAAGCTTCCTTTACAGCTGTGATTACCAACCAGATGTACAAGTACCCTAGACTACTATTAACTGTTAAACTAATAGTTAATGGTATTAAAGTAAAGAACTGAGTGGACCTGAGTAGATAAAAAGTAGAGACAGCCAAAATGAATACATAAATGACTCATAATATACAAATTATGTCGAAAGAGAGATTAAATAAATGAAGAAGTCACATGAAAGTAGTAATAATTATTGAAATTCTTAGCTAAAAGCATGGATGAACACTTGAAATAGCTAGCCAAAACTGGAAACTGTTGGAAATCATCAGCTGACAGGACAAATTGTTAACTAACAAGTGTCAAGCTAACAGAATTTACAGTTTAATTAAAGAAATTTAAATTTTAAACTAATAATAGATAAGGCGTAATGATGAAAAGGTGAAGAAATGGTGAAAATAGCAATCTAAAAAGAGCGCTAAACAGTTGAATTTGATAGCTAACGCGATGGTCAAATAGCTCAAATTGTTCGCTAACCATATGGGACAATCACTTGAAATGGCTGGTGAACATTATGAAGAAATAGTTGGACATTTTTTAAAAAAGAAAGATCAAAGATCAAAGGTTGACGAAGTTGTTTCTAAATTCAACAATGGCCTGTGAAGGGACATCAGTTAATGAAAAATTCAGGAACCAGTGCTTTACAGTTCGTATGTGAAGGAAGAGATACAGTGGAGAATGTGTTTTCAATTTAAATGAAATTTATTTATATTCTAACAGCATAAAAAAGAAATACAAAGATGTATTTACAGTGTTTTCAATCGTGACACACACACACACTCAACCCCACAACTTGTTTACATGCCTGTCACATTCATAGTCTCATATCCATAATCTGATTTGACATAAGGGAAGCCAGCTATTATTAGACAGTGTTGAGTCTTTCCATTGAGCTGTCTGCATCAGTCCAGGAAGTGCAGACTGACCAGTTGTTTTGCTGGTACGGACAGTGGGGCCAATGACGAATCTGCTAAAATGGTGGCAAAGAATGCAAACACAAATTCAAACGGATCTTTTCGATGAGAATGTTCAGATAGCCCTCCTAAGATCCAATCTAAAGGAAACAGATCACTTCAAGATTAATCAAACACCCTGATAAAAGCACCACGTTGACTGGTCTGGGTCAGAGGCGTGACACTTTTAATAGGACTGATACAGACGGTCTGAGTGTGCGGGTGTGTTGGTGGACAGGTTGGCAGACTCAGCTCAGGATGCCTCCTCTCAAGTGTCCACTGTCGCTCAGCCCGTGCTCTATAAGTTTGATGTCTTCCAAGTCGTCTTTGATGACGCTGATCAAATGACTTAAACCATCCTGTTGCTGTTTCAAGTGCTGAAAGCAAATATACGCAAACCGTGGGTCAGTTCAATGCATTAAAAACAAAAAAAACACACTGGTATTGTCCGGACATTCACAACTGTGTATTTAAAGTCTGGGTTTGTATTTACAAATCTCAGAATGACACACTCGTGGTCCAAAATTTAGGCCAAGCAGTAAAAGAGTTTAAATATCTTCAACTTTGGAAATCACTCATATCTTGGTCAATATTTGGGAGAACTCTAGGAGTTATCAGTAAATACAGCTCAGAAGATAATAGGAATTATTCCAGAGACCGACCTTGTGTGTGACAAACAATAATAAATGCTGACTTTGCAGAAAGCGAGATTCTCACAATGTTGCACTTTTTTGCAACAGCGAACATGCAGCTGTGCAGCGATGATTATTCTGTCAGTCACTTCGATCATGCTATCAGCACCTCATAAAGATTATACACATGATGAGAAGTACTTTCGACTTGACGCCACCTGCGTGATTCCCTTTGTTGTAAGTCAGAGTAGGACACATTGCTTTATAGAGTCCTCCTATGTAGTGCTGTTAACTATTAGGCGAGTTTCAGCAGATTTCCAAGAGCAGTTCTTGGATGTTTTGAGCCCAGGAACTAGTACAAGGCACAGCTGTGAAAATCAACATGACGTAAATGCGCCGACTCACTTGTTTGATTTCTCTGAGCAGGTCTGCATCAACACTGTAGCGCTCTTCTGATCTCACAGCTCCAAAGTGGTTCTGCATCCGGATTTGGGACATTAATTCATTCAACCGACCCTGGATAAGACAAGACAATACAAAAGTAAAACACCAAGTAAATTGTTTGTCTCATACAGTAGTTTGATTTCCAACGGTTGCCAAAAACGTAATCAGACCCAGCAAAATGTGACTCAGGAATGCAGATTGCCTAAATAATTATTGGAATAACTACAAATATGAAAAACACCGTTTCTTAACCCACTGAACCTCAAAACTCATCTGAATGTTTGGAGGGAAAATTTTGCCAAAATTACAACATTTATCAGAAGGCATGACTGATTCAACTATGGCCAACAGTCATGTGAAAAAAATGCAGGGACTATTCGGCTGAACTGTAGGCTGTGCAAATAGGGACAAGTATAGAATATATACATATATATATATATTAAAAAGCTGTAAAATATCTATACTATGTCAAACAACCATTTCTCCTGTATTGGTAACACGTGTGGGCACTTCCAAATATGTTGTACGTACTGATTCCAGGTTTATTTATTTCACGAAAATTGCAAACTCAGACAATAAACCTTAATGGGTTTTTTTTTTTTTTTAGATTAATGGCAATATAACTTTATTATAATGTACAAAAAGAATTTTTGACCTCTTGCTACTCCTATTCGTGACTGTGCAATTCCCATGGAGGACTTTACATTGCAGTCAAAAATGAGCCCACAGTGAGTAAAAAAAAAATGTGACAGGATCCTCCAAACTGCCTGGCTTTTATAATTATTCTGCTTAATGCATGGAAACACTTCTGTGTTTACTTGATGCTGCAGTTTAGACACACTTGCCTTGAACTGTGTGGGAGCATTGAGTTCAGACTGAATGGTGTCCAGCTGCACCCTGAGATGCTCCTCATCCACTTGGATAGCGTAGCCACTTTTCCTCTGAATCTCTTGTTTGATCAGCACCTACCAGGAAAACAGAGAAGGGGGAGGAATAAATCCAGGAGAATTACTAAAGAATCAATAATAAAGCAAGGAATTCATTCAAATGCAATTCAATGTACAACTGGCATTCATTACAGGTCATTTCACTGCTCTTAGAAAACAAGAGTTAGGATCCTAAATGTATTTTCAAACAAAGAGTTAGAGTTAAGAGAGTTAAGAGAGCCATAATACGCACGCAATATTTGGTATGCAACCTACATATAATAAATGACCCCAAAGGTACAGTTACAGTCCTGTAGCAGCCTGATTATCTTGTCCTTGGTGTAAAGGGAGAGCAGCTCCCTGATCTAATGTCTGACCAATTTCCAGCCCCCTTTTTTAAACAAAATATTTTCACTGATTTGGTATCCAAACACTTACTCTTTGCAGTCACACCTGCTGCTTTCAAATGATGCCTGGGATTAGGCCACAGCTATTACAGGACTGCTTTTTATTTTTTTTTTTATTTTATTGTTTATTTGATGTGGACATCACAATCACATTGGACAGACCAGATGCTTTGTTTGAGTGTTTTAGCACATGTGCTAATTCGCAACACTTGTCCACAGGAGGCTTTTTGAAAATGATAAAAACAATAAAAGCAATAAAAAAAGAAGGAGAGAGAGAGAAAGAATGCAGTGTAGAATAACTTTACAACAATAAAAGAGAAAAAGAGAGGCAGCTTTCCAAATAAAATACATACATGAGCTAAAATGCAAAGGAAACATGGTCAAGCAGTCACCCAGTTAAAAGCTATTCATGTGAATCACCCAGGTAAAAGCTATTCATGTGAGCACTCTTGTTTTGATTTTAGCCATTTTTTGAGTCCTTTGCTAAAAGCAATACTGTTGGTCTCTAATTTTAGAGTATTGGGTAGAGAGTTCCAAAGTTTTGCCCCCTTTGCAGCTTTCTAGGCACGCTGTATGTACAACGTCCTGTATGTAGCAACCTTGTGTTGTAACTTTTATGTAAAAGCGATCCATGAAGTAGTGCTTGAAACATGAAAACTGGCATGTTACATGTTTGTGTAACAGGATGGCTGCAAGTCCAAAATGAGCTTTAGAAGTGTGAGGCAGTTACCTGCAGCACCCTGTGAGAGAGATCCATCAGCTTCCTCTTGTACTGGGCAATCTTAGCCACAGTAGTCGCCTGGTTCTTCTGCAGCTCACTGATGTCACTGGAGATAATCTGCAAGTCCACAAGTGCATGAGTGAAAACAGGAGGAAGGGAAACTGTTGACATGTCCAGTATTTCTCCTTTGACTTTAAGCATTTAAAAAAAAAAAAAATCAAGCTGAAAGCAAGATAGTTGTCCAAATTTACATCTAAATCTTAGATGATACATCAGTAAATAATCTCACATTCAATGTACAGAAAATGAACAGAGAAAGGACACTTATGACAGCAAATATATAGAGGATTTACCTCTCTAGATTTAAGCAATGTAAGAAAAAATGATTTTAAAGCACTTCTAAATCCTGACACTACCACTTGCAGCTATATTTGTTATAGTTATTCCAGCAGAAAACAACCTGTTGGCAGCTAGCATGAACTGGACATCTGTGTACTGTCCTTGACGAGACAAAATCTGCTCCAAAATTCCTTCGTTGATAATGAAACAACACTGAGACTATGTCCAGTCTTCTTCTTCTTCTTATTACTATTTTAACACTGAGAGGAAAAAAACCCTACAGAATTAGCTCTATTCTTACTCACATCCACTCTGGTCTGGTGCTGTTTAGTCATCTGCTCTTGGATCTGCAGCCTGCGGAGCAGCTCCTTAAAACCCACCATGGGCACTGGGATTAACCTGGACGAAACACAAAAACTGTATCTTAACAAAGAAGGAGGATCTGTGCCATCATACACCTTATATGTAAAGTGTCACGTTCAACCTTGACTTCTCTGAATTGGCCAGAGCATTTTGTTTTGTGGAAAAAGAAAAACAATGAGTATTTTGAATCATTTGTAGATGTGTCATGGAGTAGCTACACCTAGTTTAACGAAATCTTAGAAAATTGTAGGGGAAAAAAACCCCAAAATGCATAGACTGAAAGAGTTCTCACTCTTTAACTGTTCTTGGCCTCTTCCTATTAATCAAAACACCAGTCTTTATGGGAAGCCTTGAGCAGATCTTTTTAAACCAACTCACCTCTCTGGGTCAGGGTTGTCCACCTTAGCCTGCTCCCAAATGATGGGATCCACTCCTGGTGACAGAAGACAGCACATCTTAGTGACTGTTCAATGCAACATACAGACACTTTGTTGAATTTGACGCATATTTACCCGCTGGAGCGTTCTGCAGCAGGTGTTTGAGCTGTGTTGGCGACAGCTCTGTGCGTGTCACTGACATGGCCACTCCAATCTGCGTGAGCTGGACCTTAATGTTGGCCTGCTCCAGATAGCTGAAGAGCGTCGTAGCCGGGATCCGCTTGGAGGTTCCATTAGGAGAACGTTCCACCACGTAAATGATCACCTCTGTTCTGAAAGGCAGAAGGCACATTTGTTTCGAATGAATGAACTATTAGAATGTCTGACAGCAAAAAATTCACATAATCTGCACACTGGGAGGCTTACAGTAGAAATCCATGTGAGTGTGACGTGTTATAGGAACTTACTGGTCATTTGGCAGCGCTTTGACACCGTCTACGTTGACAGTGAGCGTCTGGTTACTTCCCAGCACCTTGTGCAGGGACTCGACCAGCTGCTGCTGCTGAGCTCGAACATCAGCCTCCTTTTTATTGAGGACCAAGACCACTAAACCATCCTCATCCTTACTCACTGGGACGCAGCTGTAACCCACCGCCTGAGAGGCACAAGACACAGATGGCCGACATTTAATATTCAGAGTCAACCAACCAACAGTTCAAAACCATGCACTGATGTCAACCATCACCTTGAACCTGCAGAACGGGTTCTCCTGGGTAAAGTCCACAGGTGGGTTGTTGGTGCTGTAGAAGCCCTTCCCGGTGCCCCAGTATGCCTGCAGCTGGTTCCATTTGGCAAGGATGGTGTCTCGCTCGTCGCCTAACAAGGTGGGAGCTGACAGAGCAGTGACCTGCTGGTAAAGCTGGGTGGGCTGAGCCTGACCCTGCGCCTGGGCCTGCTGGCCGAACAAGCCTCCTGGTCGAGGAAGGACAGATGAAATCACAGGTCGGAATGTCTTATTCTAGTTATATTTTCTCTTTATGTCAACTCATTAACTTAAACACGGTATTTGCAGCCTACATCTGAGCTTCGGCTGAGTACTAAGGCTGAAATATTTCATTTGTTGCATGCTGAGGCTGCCTGCAGTGGTAGGAGGTGTGTAGCACAGTTAACTCTGAATCTGTTCTAAATTTTGTGAAATGCACAGTTTCCAGAGTGCTGGCTGTGCTTAAAGCAACTTTTTTTATTTTCTTTTTGAGGACAGGTTGATTATTGTTTTTCAACCCAAATAAATTTGACCATTTGTGCTTTTCAAGGTTTTTCCTGCACAGAGGAATTTTTGGCAAGCCCTAAAGAGGGTTTGGCCAATAACAAAGAGAACCTACCAGCACCAATATGAGAGGAATTCAGAATAATTCAAAACTTGACTAGTTTTACTAATTGAGGTTTCATTTATTCTAGCACAATGTAAATCTTCGGTTATCAAATCGTTGTGAAAAAACAGTAAAATGCATAGATTTCTGTCAAATAAGACAATACAGACTCATTGCTGTTACTGCACATGAACCTATGGTGCTTACTGACACACAGTTACCCCCAAAAGGCCCATTCTGGTTGTCAAGTTAGTAATTTACCAATTTACAACCGTAATGCTGGTATCAGATGTAATGTTTTTGCAGTGGTTGCCTTGTTCACGTCACAATTTTCCCATCTTTGCACAGAAACAATTAAAATGTAATTTAAAAAAAACAAGTTCTCACCTTGCTGCTGCTGAGCTGGCTGGATATTAAAGCCTCCAAACCCACCCAGGCCAGTTGTTCCTAATCCAGTTCCAAATCCTGATGTGCCAGCAGCGGCCCCTGTGCCAAGCCCGGACGAGAACCCAAACCCTTTGTTCTGCGTGTTACCAAACAGGCCTCCTGAAACAGAACAAAGTGCCAACACAGTGATAAAATATGAACTGCATTAATGCTACTGAACACCAGTTAGGTCTACGGTGAAATGTGCTGCCAGGTTGGCAGAGGGATCGCTGCAGGAATAAAAGGAAGGACTCATGTTAGGGTAGAGTGAGTGAGACATCTTGTGGCTGGTTAGTGCAGGTAGTTAAGTTCAAAGCTGAATATGAGGCAGTGTGTTAGAGTACAATTCTAGGAGAGCAGTTCAGAAGACTAATAGAACTTTGGTGTTAATCAAAATGTGTTTTCCCATTCTTCTTTTTAAAACCATTTTGACGTGCTGTTCACTACTTAAATGTCAGCAAACACACCTGAAACCCAATTTCATTAAACAGTAAGAAGCAACCATGTATTACACAAAACTGACATTTTCTGACAAGCAAACTTGTATCTTGTCTTCTGCCCAATGAGTTAATATATTATTAATCCATTTAATTGCTGTTATTAACTTAATACGTGAGAATTAATCTTTAACATCAATGAGCCTCATATACTAATACATTTTTCCAAAAACAGCATCTTTGTTATTTTTATCTTAAGTTTTACAGCGAGCCTTATTTGGGACTTCTAGGTGCAACGATGGTCATTAGCCGTCTGAATGAAACTGACAACTGGACAGGGTTTTGACGTTCAGTGAAAAGCAATGGTGTTTACATGTTTATAAAAAGCTTTTGTTTTTTAATTTGGCCAACTGGTGAAGCAGTTTTGTATTTTTATTCAGACTGGTTTTATCGTGTTTTAGTACAACTGATCATTCTCTCAGTTGGTCAAAATTACCAGACGCTTTATTAATGCTGTGTGTGTATTTGTTTTCTTGTACATTAACATATAGAACTACAAAACAGTTCTGTAAAGCGGTGGAGGCCACTGTTGCTGACCTGTGGTGTTGGAGGGGCCAGCAAAGCTAAAAGTTGACCCCGGTGCAGCAGCTGTTGTTGTTGTTGTCCCAAAACCGCCAAATGCGCCTGAGAGACAAAGAAAATCATAACAAATTAGATCAAAAAGGTGACACAGAAAGGGGCAAAAGAAAAAAAAGAATGAAATAATGGACTATTTGACATACAGAAGAACAACAAAATCATGATAAAACTTTTAGGATCATTACAAAATTAGAATTTGACTTCATAGACATTGTTCTTCTGACTTACAGATAGATGAAAATGTACTGACTTTCCACAGCAATCATATGAGAGGAGTCGATAATTCAACAATTAGTCTCTTCATGCAAATACAAACAGCAAATCTTGACGTTTTATGAAATGAATCAAGAGGTGAGATGAAAAAAAATAAAAATCACTGCACCACATAGATGTGAAAAATGGATGAAAATGTGTATTTACAGACACAGATTGTACTGAATCACAAAGGTCATCTACCTGTGCTAGCCAGGCTATTACCAAAATTGAAAACAGTGCCAGTGGTGGTTGCTGTACCAAAGCACCCCACATTAAAGCTGACTGCTGCTGGGTTGGCATTTAAACCAAACCCCCCAAAACTAAACCCACCAGCCGTGGTGCCTCCAGCTCCTAGCCCCCCAAATCCTGCAGCCAAAGCAGGCAGGCAGCAAGAAAGAGAGAACGACACGGAGGAGTTAAATGACACAATGCCACACCTAGCACGGGCTTATTATTTGTTAAAACAGTGAAAATGCCTTAAAAGAGTCCAGAAATGTATTACAAATTATTGGCTATCATGACGTGCAGCTTACCAGTATTGGTGGAGCCGAAGCTAAATCCTGTGGCTGGTGCAGCAGCAGTGGTGGTGGCTGCCCCAAAACCAGGGGCTGTAAGAGCTACGAAGACAGAGCAGAAACCAAACAGGTGGTCACTTAAACCAGTTAGTTAGAGGTAAATGCAAAATGAAAGAACACCTAAAGACAGTCAACACAAATCATATGCAAGACTTTGCTTTGTGATAGTGATGTAAACAAAATAGTAATATCCAATAAAGAAAGCAGCTTGACATCACAATTTGTGTTTTTCCAAAAACTTTTTGTTACACTCGAGATCTGCAAACAACAATTCAAATTTTCTGGGGTTTTTTGTTTGCTTTTTTTTCCCCTTTACACCCTGTGGAACCTAACGAGCCAACAAAATAATGTATTCAGTTTGAACACAGCACAGTGATTTCAGAAAAAGGAAACACACATTTGATTCTAACCAGCATGTATTGAGATTATCAGAAAAAACGTGTAAGATTGGTGTTCTTCAACTGAAACGATCAAAGAATTGCTTCTTTTATCTCTACTGCTGCAACTGAGTTCATAGATTAACAGAAATGATCATCATGACACCAGACTTAGCTAAATATTACCAGCCCTTCATGATTACTTCATTTAGTTCAGTATTAGTTTAGTGAACCACTGACAGTTTCCCCAGTGATTTGTGTTCTCATTTACCTTAACCAGCAGTAACCTGAGCCCAGCCTTAACCCCAACCAGAAGTACCCTGCTATGCTTAACCTCGACCTGTTGTCTCTCTGCTGCCTCAACACATCTTGAGCTCAACCACAGAGGACAGTGTTATAGAAAACACAAAGGAACACAACAACAGAACGAAATCAGCTTCATTTAATTCACTTCACTTTGGTTCTTCCAGTGTGGGAGACGTTCCCAAATCCTTCCCTTAAACATGCAGCTGTGCATTAGGGCTGACCAATCAATTTCAAATTGAAATTGCATTTCTAAAGAAAGCAACCAGAAAATCACAAAAGCTGCGATAAAAGATAAACTAGGTGTAGCTATTAAATAACAAAACAAATACCGTAATTCAATGTTACTTAATTCAAGTAGACTGAATCTTCTAGAGGTTGATTGTGCCCGTCTGTTGTTCAGCGGATACTACAGGGTTCAGGCATGCATGACGTGGTTTGACTGACAAAAGGCCAGCCTCTCGTTTTGCAAGTATGTGTATTCCTCCATGTGACAGTCATAGTTCTGTCTCATGTGATAACGCTCCATCACATTTTAAAGTTTTTAAAAAAAATTGTATCACAAACCAAATTGTCATATCTGTCAGAAAAATTGGATATTTTTCCAAAAATCGTTCTGCCCTGCTTTATACTGCCCTTAAGCAGGCATGGCAATGTACTTCTGTCAAATTCAGTTGACAGTGACAATAACGCTGACAACAAGAGCACATGCATCACTTTTGAGTGGCTCGTCCAAACAGCATGTCTCACTTAAACTCATAATCTTATTATTATTTTCTTTATTTGTTTATTCCCTTTTTGCACTGTTTGGAAATTGGATTTATTGATCTCTGCTATTTCTCTCTCTCTCTATGTGTGTGTGTGTGTATATTATTTCTTGTGTGTTTTATTTCTTATTCTTATTTACCTTATTATTGTTTCGGTGTGGAACAGGTACACAACGCATTTCACTGCGCGTTATACCATGTATAACTGTGTTTGTGACCAATAAAGACTTTGAATCCTTTAATAAAACGGCTGGATGGAAACAGCAAGGATATTTGAAAACAGCATAAATAAATCTTAAAACCGGTAGGTACAGAAAACATCCGTGTGGTTTAGTTCCCACCTCCAAAACAGAGCCAGCACAAAGCTGCTTCATAAACATCTTCTAACGTAGGATGCGGGACTATCTCCCAGACTGGTGAATGACAGTCCCAGTGCCAACACTAACAAAAGCGAGTCTCTCCTTTTACAGTACCACAGCCGAGCAGCTGTTAATATGACCAAAGAGAGGAGCTCCTCCGTGTGGATCGGAGCTGTGGACTTACTGCCGAATCCGGACGAGGCGGTGGTGGTGGTGGCTGCGGGGCCGAAGCCAAACGCTGTTGATGCTGTTGTCTTGGCACCAAATGAACCAAATGAGAACCCGGACGTGCCTTTTACAATAACAAAAAGCGCTGTAAGTGCTGGCTGTCATGACAGTAACGTTACAGCTGAATTTGACAGGCATCGAGCTCCTCCGGTCCAAAAGTAACGTTAGCTTACATGATAAACAGCAACATGTGAGGACTACTGATAGCCAAAACAGCTAGCGAGGCAGAGTACGTTACCACTGGTAGCAACTCTGCGCTGCTTCACCGAAGACTACTAGCATTGAAAGGAGTCACCATATATCAGACGCAATATTTATTTAGTTACATATGCAGGTGCAGCACAGCTTTTAACGTTAGTTTACCGTTAGCCGGCAGAGGACCACCGTCATGACTGCACCACAACGGCAGCCCGGAGTGAGCCGTTTACACTTAGTCATCATGTTTACGCACCAAAGTGACGTTGTTTTGATAATAAATGTGTTCCAACCTTAAAATAAATACCCCCAAGTTAAGTAAAAACGTCCTTACTTGCCGCTGTGTTGCTCGTGGGGCCGCCAAAACTGAACGCCATGTTGAATGTTGTCGCCCCAGTTTTCCTCTTCTTCTTCTTCTTCTTCTTCTTCTTCTTCTTCCTCTTCAGTTCAGTCAGTTATCGTCCG